CTTCCCCCCTCCTTCCTTTCACCAACTCCTGGTGAATACAGATCCAACTTCCTTGGATCTAAAAACAAGGAAAAATCAATCAGGTTCTTAAAAAGGCTTTTAATTAAAGAAAAAGGTAAAAATCATCTCTGTAAAATCAGTATGGAAAATAGCTTTACAGGGTAATCAAACTTAAAGAGCTCAGAGGACCCCCCTCTGTCTTAGGTTCAAAGTACAGCAAACAAAGATAAACACTCTAGTAAAAGGTACATTTACAAGTTGAGAAAACAAAGTAAATCTAAGACGCCTTGCCTGGCTTTTTACTTACAAGTTTGAAATAGGAGAGACTTGTTTAGAAAGATGGGGAGAACCTGAATTGATGTCTGGTCCCTCTCAGTCCCAAGAGCGAACAACCCCTTAAACAAAGGGCACAAAACAAAAGCCTTTTCCCCCCCGCCCCAAGATTTGAAAGTATCTTGTCCCCTTATTGGTCCTTTGGGTCAGGTGTCAGCCAGGTTACCCGAGCTTCTTAACCCTTTACAGGTAAAAGGATTTTGGAGTCTCTGGCCAGGAGGGATTTTAGTACTGTACACAGGAGAGCTGTTACCCTTCCCTTTATAGTTATGACAGACGCCTAGGCTCCTTATACCATGAATGGGGAGAGATAGGCATCTTAGATTGATTCACAAAAGCCAGCAGGCTAGGTGCGGAGAAACCAAGGTAGCCAATGGTCAAGGCCCTTTGTTTTAGTTTATTTTGTTTAAAATTTCTTGGGAATTTATCAGTGTTCATTACAACATTTTTTTAAACGGGTGACAATTGGTGCAAAAAGTTAACTTCACAGTTTTCAGGGTAAATACTGTGGGATGGGAGGATACCCGGGGGAGGGGAGAGTACTTCTGATCTAGCTCTCCATTCTGGAAGATGAAATGGTGGCTTGGCAGCCCAGGTTACCAAGCTGCCATCTCCTTCCTGACGGTCTGTCCAAGTTACTTAACTCTCATCTCTCCTGGAGTGTGGAGTGGATCTGGGGAGTTCTCCTACTTTTTTCTAGGACTCAAACACTGGTGTGTGTCTGTGTGTTCCACTACATTGCCTTACTTTAAACAGCTAGCCTTGCATTTACAGTCAGACTAACTTATTATTAACAAACATCTATCTAATGTGATTTATTGGATTTGCTTAACAATCAGTATTTTCATGTAGTTTAATGGTCCAAAGTGTGAGTGAAAATTGGTAAAAACTAAGTAATAGCTATTGTAAAAGCTGGGAATGTTTTGGTAAAAACCTAAAATGGAAGGGCCTTGCCCCTGGGAGAGGCTGACCAAAGGGGAGTGTCCTAAGCGCCACTCCTCTCTGAGATAGGTCCAGACTGCAGAGAGGTGCATATCTGCTAGCAACCCATGAGTGAGAACCCTTTTCCTGGAGTCAGGTGGTTTTACATTTATTGTAAGAATAAGCAAGGCAGATGTCTACCTCCCCCCAAATGAGGGGGCTGGGGGGAAGAAGTAGTGCTGCCCACCTTGTAACTTTCAGCCCCTGGGGTACAGCACTCATGCGTTGTGAGATAGCCAGGTTCAAGTCACCTCTCCCTGCCAGAGGAATAGCTTCAATAAGAGAGACTTAGGGAGACTAAGTTTTAGCCACTTTCCATTTTGTTTAACATAAGTATGTGAAACACGTGGTTTACAGGGAAAAAACATTGTTCCTCCATTAAATATGCATTTTAATTTCTGAAGAACATCATAAATGTTCTACGTGTTTGCTTTACCAGAGAGGCAGATGCACTAGGCACTGTGAAAATACATAAGATATGGTCCTTGCTCTAAAGAGCTTGTAATTCTTCAAGTGATAGCACATATCCATTCCATTGTAGGAGTGTGCATGCCACAAGTACAGTTGCTGGAAGCTTTTACCTCTGTGGTACCAGTTGGGTCAACTCTGGTGCTGCACACACATAGGGTTGGTATAAGGGTCTGGTCAACCCTGTGACCCTCAGCTACTTCTTACTGCCCATGACGGTTGCTGGAACTGCTGTCCTTGCTACAGCAAACTGGTCTCCATGGTCTTTG